GCCGTGCTTGTAGTGTTCAGGGTTCTCGAACGGTTCTATAACGACTCCCTAAAGGGTCTATAAGGGTTCTAGAAGGGCTCTAGACGGCTGCGTACGGTTGAAGGCTTTAGTGTGTTTTGTGGCTTCGCATTTTGGTTTGCAGGCATTGGCTTGTCGGGTTTTGATGGGATGAAGGTAGCATGGGAAGGCCCTGTGGGTTTACTCATCTGCAGACAAGGGATTGCTACCATGAGTTGTGCAGACCCATGGCGTGTGATTCAGGATACCTCATAGGAGGTCTCCTATTTGGGACTCCCCCACCCACCTTCCGTTGATGCCTGTTCCGCTAACCCTAACCCCAAACCGCTGTGGAGCGGTTGGAGAAGGGGGGGCGACTAAACAAACAACAGCCGCTGTGAAGCTCTCTGACAGGCTGAGTTCATCCTCTACACGACCCTCAGGAGCGTCGGCGTGCTCCAGAGACTGCAAAACCCTTGAAGTAAGGAACGTATGTTGAATCATATGTAGGGTCCCTCCTTAATTCATATTCCTGAAGTAGTGGGCTTTGGAGTCGCAGCCTCCTGTCAGGATCATCGGCGTACTCGCCTCAATCTATATGTTCTTGATGGGACTGGACATGATGGGCAGCTCTTTCCTTGTGCTCGGAGGCAAAGGTGCAGGCACGCCAAGACAAAAAGGGTTTGGTTTTTAGAGCTCCAAACCCCTAAACCCTCAAGCCCTAAGCCCCTAAAGACCTAAAGCCCGAACCCGGCGGTTACCGAGGTTTTACGAATCAGTGTTTCAAGGCCCTAAACCCTAATCCCTGCAGGGATTTTGGGATCTTGGGCTTCAAGGTTTTCAGACTTAGGGATTTTATGATTTTTGGCTTTAGGGTTTTTGGAGTACACGGCTCCCGGTTGCATACTAGACTATAACTATAATCAGCGGATTATGACTATCAGGTCTAGCTATTACGCATGAAAGGGTAATAATGGTAGTAGCTATGTATGGAACATGAACTTAACTTTTCTAAGTATGAGCTGTACG